ATATATTTATAACATTCCCCCGTGGATGTTCATTGAAAGATAATGTGCCTCATTAAAATCTTACTAGGAAAAACCCCGTGAAAAAAATTCTAGTGAAGGAAAAAGAGTGCATATATTTAGTAATATGCATAACTAGTTGTCTAAAAAATAACCTTGTAAGGAAAACCATGTGGAAAACTTTTAGTAAGGGAAAAGGAGTATAGCGCGTATTTTACTCCCCCTGATAAAAATCATGCTTCAAATATTTAAGTATCTGCATTCCAATATTGTATACCATCTTCTCAAAGGTTGAAGTTGGCAAAGATTTAGTGAATAAATCTGCTGGATTGTCACTTGAACGGATTTATTGCACAACAATGTTACCATTTATCTCCTTTTATAAATCCCCCATTTAATTGGGTTATGCATGCAGCATTATCTTCGTATAAAATTGTGGATCTTTTATCATATTCTAAACTACATTTTCCTTGAATAAAATAAATCACTGATCCCGACCATACGCATTCCCTACTTGCTTCACGAATAGCTATTATCTCAGCATGATTTGAAGAAGTAACAACAATAGATTGTTTTATGGAGCGCCATGATATGACAGTACCTCCACATATAAATATGTACCCGGTTTGATATCGAGCTTTATGTGAATCAGATAAATAACCTGCATCTGCATAACCAACAAGATCTACACTACCTTTGTTAGAATAAAATAAACCCATATCAAGTGTTCCTTTTAAATATCGCAATATATGTTTAATCCCGTTCCAATTTCTCCGTGTAGGGGAATAACTATATCTTGCTACTAAATAAATAGAAAATGTTATGTCAGGTCTTGTAGCATTAGCAAGATACATAAATGCACCAATTGCACTGAGAAAAGGTATTTCGGGACCAAGGAGTTCCTCATCCTCTTCTGGAGGTTGGAACAAATCCTTATTCACCTCAAGTAATCGAACAACCATTGGTGTACTCAATGGGTGCGCTTTGTCCATGTAAAAGCGTTTTAAGACCCTTTCTGTATAGGCAGATTGATGAATAAAGATCTCGTCTACTAAATGTTCAGTTTGAAGACTAAGACAAAGTTTTGTCTTTCCAAGATCTTTCTTCTCAAATTCTTTCTTAAGATATTCAATTGCCTTTTGGAGCTCTTCTAGAGTTCCAACAAGATTTATGTCATCAATATAAACAACAAGTATAACAAATTCTGATGCCATTTTCTTTATAAAAATACATGGACAAATAACATCATTTATGTAACCCTCTTTCAGCAAATATTCACTAAGGCGATTATACCACATACGCCTAGATTGCTTTAAACCATACAAAGATCTTTGTAATCTGACTGAATACATTTCCCGAGATTTTGGATTTGCTTCAGTCATTTTAAATCCTTCAGGGATCTTCATATAGACTTAATCAAATGAATTGTATAGGTTATGACTTGCATTTAGATGGCATGACATCTTCAGATGTTTGGACTACAGGTCTGATCCTCACAATCTTTTATAATATTGTGAACTATATTGTATCAAACATATTGTCGACGATCATTTTGTATCGGTTCCTAAGCGACATAACTTGTTGAGATCTCATCACATTCTTTATTTTCACGTACATGAACTTCTTCGGGAGTTTCATGGAATGTTATGTCGTGGGCTCTTCTAGAGCTCATATCCTCCTCATTATGATCATTTCGATCATTTGCTCCTATCATTTTCCAAGGATTGTTACCTTCGGAACCGATCGGTTTATTACGCTTCATGCGTGCAGTAAACTTTATCCTTCTTAATTTTAATAGGAGCATTTGTAGCTGAAATATGATATTTAATTTTGAATCAGCAAATGCTTTTGGAATTTGACTTGAATTATCTTCTAAGTGAGGATCATATTAATGATAATTCGATTCATATAGCATATTTTTCAGCTGTTTATTTCATCCCCCAAATATTAGAAAAACTAATACATATCCCCAATCTTCTTTGGGAAACCTATTTTTGTGCATTGTGGTAGAGAAATTAATCATGTACCACACATCAAAAGTTATTAGATAGTAAAAATATTTGATTTCTGATCCTAAACCAATTGTGAGGGGAGGACTTATCATATATTGTTAGTCTAATGCATTTAAGTGCTATTGTATGTAATTTAAAAAATCTTAGACCAACACATGAGGTTATGTTCTCATAAGCAATAGTTTAGCCATTAATATGAGGTATTCAATGCTAAACTAGCTTGGATATAAACCAACATTATCAAGATGAACTATTTTAGTTTCATAATCTGAAAATTATGCTCTTAATTGAGAAAAATAATTTTAAATGCCAAACCGCAGATTGACAATAAACACACATGTAACCATCTCATATATACATCTATTAGTGGTTCACATGATAGGTTAATGGGCCCATATTCGCCTTTTATATATATTCCAGAATTCAGGGGTCTTAGTCCCAACTTTAGCTGGTATAATCAATTTATTATGAGAATAAGAAACACAAGAGAATTCCTGAAGAATCTTCTAGTTCTTCAGTATCTGCTTATCTGAATTCTCAAAAAGCTCATTTAAAAATGGCAAATGAAAAATTCAAGTTTATCATGGCATGTGCTATCTCTTAGTAAGCTTCTGGTTTACTATGGAATAAACTTTTGCATTAGTAAACTTCTGGTTTACTGTGATACATGATGTAGTAAAAATTGAATAATAAGGCAGGTAAGTTCCCACATACATATTATTTTACCCCCTATGGTTGTGAAAACATGAAGATTTTCAATCTTTCAATTATTTATAATCTCAGTATGATAGCCATTTGTATTAGTAAACTTCTTGTTTATTACAACATATGTTTTGATCACAATCATATAATATGAATGACAAATTTGCATAAAAGCTCTTCGGGAACCTTCAATTTATTGTCCATAATCAAATATTATTTAGGCACTACTTGTGTCATGTGTCTTCTAGACAAATAGTTAGCTCTTCAAGAGCTTTTGATAAATTTTGTACTGCCAAATATCTCTCAGACACTTCTGGTATCATGAGAGAAAATTTCTTCAAAATGACATAAACAAAATAAATATGATAGTAAACATTATTACCAAAGCATAACTTTTATTTATGTACAACAATTACATAACCATACTATCTACTACAAAGAACAAAAATTAAAATATTTATATTTCTATAGATTCATCACCGATCACATGACTTATTTCTCCTTCCGGGAGTGCAAAGTAATCAGCTACATCCAAATGCATGAAGTCTAAATTATCTTCAGAAATAAAATTTACTTTGGCATTTTTCTCTGTCTTCTTCAGGGATGCTTGATATATCTCAACCAAGTGCTTTAACGTACGACAGGTACGTGACCGGTGCCCTTTTCTTCCAGATCTACAACATGCATTTTCTGCCTTTGCTGCTTGCACCGCTTCATACTTTTGTTCCTTCCTTTTTCACTGCTGGGGGGTGAGGAGGGTTCTTTGGTGCATTATTATTACCATGATTAGTGTTTCTTTCCCGACCACGGCCATGACCACGACTAGGGCCACGTCCTCTTCCACGCTTAGCTTGGTGGAAGTTCGTCTCATTTACTTCAGGGAATGGACAAGAACCCGTAGGTTGACTTTCATAATTTTTTATTAATAGTCCATTATGTTGCTCGGCTACAAGAAGATGTGAGATAAGTTCAGAATACTTTTTGAATCCCATCTCTTACTATTGCTGCTGCAGGAGCATATTCGAGGCATGAAAAGTGGTGAAAGTTTTTTCCAACATATTATGATCAGTAATATTATCACCACATAGTTTCAATTGGGAAATAATTCTGAACATAGCAAAATTATACTCACTGATAGATTTAAAATCTTGTAGCCTTAGATGAGTTCAATCATAACGTGCCTGTGGAAGAATGACCATCTTCAGGTGGTCATATCTATCTTTCAAATTATTCCACAGTATGATTGGATCTTTAATAGTGAGATATTCCATTTTCAAACATTCATCAAGGTGATGGCGTAGGAATATCATTGCTTTGGCACAGTCTTGGTTTGATGCTTGATTTTTGTCCATGATGGTGTCTGCTAGACCCATCGCATCAAGATGAATTTCAGCATCAAGCACCCAAGACATATAGCTTTTGCCCGATATATCTAGGGCTACAAATTCAAGTTTAAAAAGATTTGACATTATTTAGAAAAAGAAAGTTCGTACCTCTGATACTTTCAAAGTATTTGCTCGATGGCAGAGTCCCGTGCTGATAACGTGTTATAAAATAAAGACTGTTAAGTAAAGACAAGTATATAGAGAAACTGATATATTATTCAAATTTCAAACTTATGTACATAATGAACTGAAATTTTCTCTATTTATAGAAGAAAGCAAGCTACTGTGTAAGTTGCTATTGTACCAGATATAGATAATCTTTTACCGAAGGTAATGTTTATCCATAACGGGGTATCGAAAAGATAAGCTCATTATACGAGATATAGACAATCTTCTATCGAGATAATGTTTATCCATAACGGGATACCAAAAGGATAAGCTCATTATACCATATATGGATAATCTTCTACTGGGAGTAATGTTTAAGTATCGAAAGGATAGACTCATTATACCAGATATATATAACTTCTACCGATGGTAATGTTTATCCATAACGGGGTACCGAAAGGATAAGCTCATTATACTAGATATGGATAATCTTCTACCGGGGGTAATATTTATCCATAACGGGATACCGAAAGGATAAGCTCATTATACCATATATGGATAATCTTCTACCGGGGGTAATATTTATCCATAACGGGATACCGAAAGGATAAGCTCATTATACCATATATGGATAATCTTCTACCGGGTGTGATGTTTATCCATGACGAGATACTGAAAGGATAAGGTTTTTCAGGAGACTTATTTCCAATAGAGTACTAAATAGATAAACATATTTACGGCGAAATCTCATATAGATAAGTTTCTTTAGAAAACTTATTTACAACAGAGTATTAAATGAACATCCATAATATAATATATTTATAACATTTACAATAACTTTTTCCCTTATACATGTCATATACTTGAGAGTCCCAAAGACAGCCATGACACCCCCACTACTCTCTAGCGCAGTTATTTGTTTTAGATGTTCTCCCATATAGAAATAGCATCCTGTAGGAAGATTAAAGATAAAATGTTAGTACCACCACCAGAATATAACGGGAGAAAATATATATTTATTTATACACGAGATACTAAACTCATCAAAACAATTCCATTAGGAGCTCCATGGTCCTCATGATACCCATGAAAACTAATTAAACTCATATCAATAAATCATACAGCCAATGATATCAAAGAAAGTACATGTAACTACATCGGACTAAATTAGATTTAAATTGTTAATCCCACAGAAAAAAAAAAATCTAAGTTCAGACAATTACGATTGGTATACTCTACACGTGAAATTAGGGGTCCAGGTGGATTCGAACCACCGACCTCTCAAATGCAATGGCATTGAGCGCTCAACCGTAGACCGAGCTCTTGGACCCAAGCAAACAGCAAGTCATGACATTAAATAAATTAAAACACAGTTTAAATAGGAAAGATGCCTTTGTTGCTTTTTTGAAGGACCGAGAAAACAATCATGTCAGCAACAGAATACACATGAAATAGGACAAGTCTTTACCTCTATTTTCCTTGTAGGGAATTAGGAACAATGCTTTATCACCAATTTGTTAGTGGTCCGTAAAAAAAGCAATGCATTACCATTGATGTAACCACAAATTCTAAGACCATCCAGTAATCTACGGCAGCAAGTATTGACAGACTAAACAAAACTTAATACCGCTTTACCATGACAGGTTACACAGGATCAATAATAACAATCTAAAATATTCACAAACTTCAACAACCTTTTATTGATGTTGAATCTACACTACCAAGACGACCACAAAACATAAACAACCCAAAGAATTACTCCCACTTCAAGTAAAATTCCAGCCGGTCATTTCCTTTCCGCTAATAAATAAAGAGCCAAATTGAAACAAATTATCACGGGAGAATTAGCCGGCCATTTCCTTTCTGCTAATAAATAAAGAGACAATCTGAAACAAATTTTCACGGGAGAATTAACTATCTGTCCAACAGAAATTTCTCCATCTGGACACAGCCGAACCGGCAGATTCACAACAGCAGAAAAATCAATCGCATTTTATGGCCAGTATAAAAACTGCATTCGTACAAACACGAGAAATACTCCAACTTGGGTATATCCAATATTCATGCCCTGCAAGCCACGGAAGAAAAATCATCTTCAATATACTTACAAATATAGACCAGCAGAAAAAATCAAAATTCAAGTGTTGAAAAAAAAAATTAAAAAGAGATGCCACAAGGGGGGAAAGATATATAAATATTGTGCAAGAGAACTGGCTGTTGATTGGATACAACCATATATAACAAAAGTGCAGCATAACGAACAAAGCCTTCATAGACAAAACAAGTGGATTACCTCAAGGATGCCAACCAGCCTACGTCTGGGACGAGATATTAGTTCCTCGCAACGAAATTTATGAGGGAAAAATACTCCCCAACAAAATTCCATACCAGCACTAAAAGTGCTAGCTTCAAAAGACATTTCCGTGTGCTTCGTCGATTCAAAAATTAGTTAAGGAACATATCTAGAAATTCCTTGGGAATTACTGACTGACAACACTTAGCCAGGATACATGTAAATCCAACTGCTGGCAGAACTTGCTGATTAAACGAAACCACAACTTCAAAACAAAGTAAAAACCACAGTAACAAACTCGAGTCTCACAAAATCCTCAAAGTGAAATATCCCAGTGCAAATTTCAAAACAAAGATATCTCATGCAGAAAGCACAGCAAAAAAAAGCTACCAAATCTTCAACAGCAGCAGCATCTCAAACATTTATTGACGAGCTCGGTGCAAACAGATCTTCTCAGTCACCACGTCCAAACATCAAGAACAACACTTATCAAGCACTTGTTGAAAACTGCAATCAGTGCGAACGGGCCTCCAGCTAAATAAAAACCACAGCTATCTGAAACACGTACGGCATAACCAGAGTACAATGATATGTCTTTAAGGTCAAAATTCCAAACCTGCCTACAAAGGGTACCCTCCCAAATGACTACAATAAAGGTACCATAACAAAAATGTCTACTAGATTGAAACATTTACATCACTGAATAGAAGAACATAACTGTATATACTCCCAATACAATCTTACCAAAAATGCGGTACTGCTAAAAAAACAATTAACTCATCAACAATGAATAACAAAAAGTCAAAAACTATTTGCAAAAATAAGGCTCGTATAAACATAAAAAGAGATGAGGAATTAAGCCACATGGCCACAATTGGAAAATAAATATGCACAGTTAGCGAGCTCTTTTTCAATGTCATCATAGTTTTATTCCCCACTCTTTTTTGTTAGAACACAGCTTGTTCATTTCACCATGTTTATCCATCATATATAGTTAAATAACTAATTACTACACCTTTACAACTTGAGAAGATCTGCTAACGGCCAACTATTAGGAAGGTTAAATGGTGAGATTGGTTCCGTACTAGAATTTACCATGCAGTTGGGATGAAATTATTGCAAAACACCAATTGTGATAAATCATTAATTTTTCACATCCAACCACAATTAATAGTTAATCCCATTACCATATTTATTAAAACAAACGTTTCCCTTGGACCATTAAAAGTCTAATTAACGTTTCCAGTTTTTTCTTTAAAAGGTGAACTTATGAGCAATTTAGCTTTATTTAAACATAATACCAGCTTAGAAAATTTATATAAATATAAATTAGTGTCTGAGTGAATATTAAGGCAAATAGTTTAGAACTGATAGGCATTACGAGAAATGTTAAAGTAACTTCAGCGAAGAGAACTGATATTGTACCTCGAGTGGGAGTGAAATTACATAAATATAAATTAGTGTGAGTGAAAACTCAGGCAAATAGTTTAGAATTGATAGCCGTTATGAGAAATGTGAAAGTTAACTTTAACTAAGAGAATTGATATTGTACCTCTAGTGGCGTGCTGCAGTAGAAACGTTGCTTGCATCCATCGCCGTGTTAAGTAAATCAACATGAGTTACTTGTCCTTGAATAGGTCACCTCAGTAATCACAAGGCCCATTCAATTACAAGTAACCACCGGATCAACGCAAAGTTGTTGAACGCAGGAGCAAGGAAATTGCAGGAAAAAAAAAGGACGCAGACACACGAAGAGAGGAGAGCCGGGCAAAACACCGTGCCATCTCCTCTCCACAACCAAAAATAAATACTTTTATTAGGTACTTTCGACCTGCCATGCGAGCGCACCCAACATGGCAAAGGCCTTGTGACATGAACAATAAATACCTCACTCTTTCCTCTCGCAACTCACAACGTCGCTCAATCTTTCATCCTCTCGTACATATGCATGCATAAATTAAAAAAACATAATGCACATTAGCCATTCAAGTAATTATAGACATCAAATTAACTAGTATAACCTTAGATACACCGTCACGCTAGCTGATTTCAACCCTCGATCAATGATTACCGGTCAAAACCGTTTGATTCAAAACGACGGCAGCACAGATTCAATAGTCCTTTGCATCTCTATTCAGATCTGCAACATGTAAAAGGATTAGCTTGTTTTCGACAAACCTAACTTGCTTAACACATCTTCTCGAGATAAACAAAACTCAATAAGTATATTTAGCTCACCGATAAAGTTCTAGCAAACAACGGTTGAATCCTCGGTAAAATAACAACTCGGTTGCTCTAACTACTGCTCCAACCTCAACAAAATCTCAGAATACCAAACAGATCTGATGCTCAGCTCCCTCCAACCATTGTGAAGAGCATCACATCTACCAGCTCCTCGTGAACCGACGGCCACAGTCGACGGAAATCGAACAGTCACACCGCTCGGTTGGTCTATCGCCGAGCTGTTATAGAAACACAGTAAATCCATATTCAAAAGGTAGATCGAAAACCGATCTATACAGATCTGAACATGAAATTTGAAGAAAAGAATATACGTGGAAGAGATCTGGAGAAACAGTGATTGGGCATAGAAGGAAAATGTATGTATGAATGATGGGAAGAGGTCGTAATTTATTTGAGAATTTAGAAGGATCCAACGGCTTAGATTAATTTAGGATAAGAGGTTGACGAAGAATAGGGTACGCAAATACTTGGACGGCTGTAAACGGAATAAGTTTATTAGAGGGAAAAGGTTGTTTTATGTAGACCACGACATCTTAACTTTTGTAATGTTTCTCGTGTCTAATAAAATAGTGTTATTTGCAGATCATGTCCCTTTAAAATTTTAAATTTAAAAAAATAATATTTTTAAATCTTTTATATATAAAAAACCTATTTTTTATGTATAAATGACAGATTTTTTATATATAAAAATAAATTTCTCATGTATAAAAAAAATATAGGATCATAAAATTAAAAATAAGTTTGTAAAGAGCCAAAAAACCAATTGACCCTAACACGAGTCATGTCTGTTAAGCTTATTTGATAATGCTTGTATATTTTCTATTCATATTCAGCTATTTTCGGGCTGTAAATATTGAGTTTTAACCTATGAGGTGAGTGCCCTGGTGGCAGTAAATGTGACTCGTTAATCCGAGTAAGTAATTATGAGTAAAGAATGAAAAATAATTAAAGTTGAAAAGATGATGATTTATGGATTAAGCAAGATGAATCAATCTATGAAGCTAAAAAAGATAATTCTTCAATATGTGGGTGTATAATATCTGAGTTACAATATATGTCAAAAACTTATCCTTTTACAGAAATATAGCCATCCCTTTTATAGTGGGGGATCCTACTTTAGACATAATTAAAAATACATAGTGGGGAACCTATGATAAATCATCATTTTCCCATGTTCTAATAGATCCCTGGGGAAAGCTTCGAAGCCACTGCTTTGCATCATCTTTGAGTGTGAAGGGGAATGCCCTTAGGTAAACTGCATCTTGTGATACGCCATTGTATTAAAAGGTGTTCATAATCTCCTTGAAGTCCATTAGATGGTTATTTGGATCTTCGTTCATCTTTCCTCTGAAGACACAACAATTTTGAAGGAGACCGGAGTAGATCTTGTGCTGCTTAGTATGGTCGATGTTGATGTGATATTGAGTATGTATTGGTTGTCTCCATGTCATGCTGTTTTAGATTGTCACGCTAAGACCGTGACATTAGTGATGCCGGAGTTGCCGAGAGTTGAGTGGAGCGGTTCTATAGACTATGTTCCTAGTAGAGCGATTTGGCACGGATATGATATACGTGGTGGCATGAGGTGTTTGTCGTGCAGTTGCCGTATTTGTTGAGGCACGAGGTCTTTGCCATGCGGTTGTGGTATTTGTTGAGGCATGAGGTCTTTGTCGTGCCAGTGTGACTTATACTGTGGCACGAGGACTTTGCCGTGCGAGTGTGACTTATACTGTGGCACGAGCTCTTTGCCGTGCGAAGGTGATTGATAATTTGGACACGAGGTGTCATTCACTTCACTCGGGGACGGTAGGCATTGTCTAAATTAAAAGGCTAAAGCCTTTCCGAGTTAATTCAACTCGAGGGCATGAAACTTATTTGGCATTACCCGAATTAAAAGGCTAAGTCCATTGTCTTTATTTATCGTTGTTACTTACTGAGTTGGCGTACTCACGTTACTCCCTGCACCTTGTGTGCAGATTCAGGAGTAGCTGGACACGGTAGCAGTTATTGAGTGTTCTGGTTGCAGACTTTTCTTGGAGATAGCAAAGTAGCTATTTGGCAATCATAGCCCCTACTCGTCTCCCTCTTATCTTCCTCTAATTGTATTTAGCTATTTTCTAGGCTGAGTTAGCCTTGATATTGTTAGACATATTATTCCTCCATATCGTATGACACTAGGAGAGTTGAAAGAATTGAAAGAGTAGCTTCAAGAACTTCTTGATAAGGGGTTTATTAGACACAGTGTGTTTCCTTGGGGTGCACCGATTCTGTTAGAAAAAGAATGATGGTANATATATATATATTCCTTAGGCCTATAGTCGAGTGAGTGTTTTCTCGAACTCGAACTAATGTAGCCCCTAGGTTTAATGGTCGAGCGAGCGTTTGCTCGAGCTCGAAGTGAGAATAGCGCTTTTGCAGCAGCTAAGTCTCGCTTTTGATCCGTTAACCATCCGAAACTCACCTGAGACCCTCGGGACCTCAACCCAGTACACCAACAAGTCCTAAGAATTTTCACATTTTTATAATTAGATGAATATATTTGACTTAAAAATAGTTACGCTTTTTGTTATTATAAATGCCATGTATTTTCTTTGAACATATTAGATCTTAAATCAAATAAAATTAAAAGAAAATGTGTACTTTGTTCCATTTATACATGAAATATATTATAAATAGATTTTAATATTATATTTTTCTCAAAAATGAAGCACAATACAACTTTTGAGATTAACTGTTTATTGTAAGCTAGGAAATAATATTTACAACACCTTTATGCTATTATACTTTTAAGAAAATGTAACTCCTATTCATTTTGTGTGAGGTACAACTAGCTACATCATCAGAATTAAAAGTGAGCTGTTAGAAGCTCAGAAAGCAATGCCTAAGTAATAACTCAATCGAGAAATACAAAGATTAAAATTAAAATTAATGCAACAGTATGAAGGTTACATTACTAGACATTTAAAATTTGTCATTTAATTCCACCTCTTCGTACTTCCAACTGAATATTTTTACTTTTGAGCCTCAAGTATGTTCCCGTGATCACGAAAATTTGATGAAGTAGCAACCCTCTCACACGTAGTTGATTTTTAGGTGTTACCACCCATAATAGTTTTTTTTGAAAAACACAATCCAAAGTATGACCGGTTGGAAGAACCTAGATATGTCAATTTAAAAAAAGCCAATGCATCAATTAGACGCGAATCACTTATGTATTGGTCTTTGAGAAAGTGTAAGACGCTATTGCTCGCAACTAAATCACGGGCAGCAGCCGTAGATCGAGCTCTGGAAGTCCTCTCCTCGCGGCTCCTCGTCCCGTAGATCGAGCTCTCGAAGTCCTCTCCTCTCAACTCCCTACGTTGATATTCAAGGAAGTAAGTCCTCTCCTCACGGCTCCCCGCCCCGTAGATCGAGCTCTCGAAGTCCTCTCCTCTCAACTCCCTACGTTGATATTCAAGGAAGTTGCTCTCACACAAGGGACATAGAAGAAAGACCTGCCCCAAATCTCCATGGTCGATCTTTTTAGATCTCTTTACGGAAATAGCAATCTGTAGGAAGATTGAAGGATTGAAATGTTAGTTCCACCATTGCAATTACTACTAGCAGCAGGAGAAATACTTCAAATATGAGATAATACAATAACTACATCAAGAGAAATAAACACAATAATTTACACTTTCATTAAAAGGTACATGATCCAGTGATGGAACCAGTTTAAAAGTACATGCAGTTACATGAAGTAGAACCTAAATTTAATGGTGTTAGCTCCCAAAAAAAAAAATTCAAAGGTCAAGACAATTGCTACAGTTCAAAATAGGGATCCAGGTGGATTCGAACCACCGACCTCTCGAATGCTATGGCATCGAGCGCTCAACCATAATAAACCGAGCTCTTAGATCCATCCACAACAGCAAATCATTAATTAAAAATAGTACTCCTATTAAATATGAAAAGTAACATTCTTTTTGTTAAATAAAATTAATAGAAGTAGAATCCCTTACCTTGATTTTGTAGTGGTGAGATTTAAAAACAGTGTTTTATCACTAATTAGTAGGTTGGTGAGAATTAGATGCAATGCATCAACATTGGTATAAACACTAATTTTGGAACCACCGAATGACCCATGGTAATTCCAGAAAGCTACCCTTCAACTAGTCAGAATTTAGTACCCCAACAATAACAGGTTGTTGTATACTGAATCAAAGATAACAATCTAAAATATTCTAGAGTAAAATAACTTCTTAATAAGATTGAATATGTACTGCCAAGACGACCACCAAACCCAAAGCTACTCTTCTCTTAAGAAATACTTCCATTGCAACAGTGTATCCTGCATGCAGGTTCTTTTCTACTAAAATAAATACAAAGCGAATCTGAAACCAAATTATCGAAGGGGATTACTAACGGTTCTCCCAAACAGTATCTCTAAAATGAAGAGACAATCTTCTCACTGAGCACTGTCAAACCGGCAGATTCACAACAGCGGACAGCCAGTGTATAGGCTGTTAATTGTCTACATTCTTACAAACATGAGAAACGCTCCAGTATGCAGGCAGAGGAAAAAAATCATGCCCTGCAAGTAGATAAACAATTTCAATATGCTTACAGATATCAAAAACCAGAAAAAATTAAAATTAGTATACAAAAAACTACAGCTAATAAAAATATCCAACATGAAAGAGATAATTTAGAAACGTGCAAGAGCACTGGATGTCTGAATAACACATAATAATAAAACTACAGGAAAAAAATTACAATGTTTGGATTACCTCAGAATGCCAGAAAAAGCACAAGCACAACACAGTTGGAGACTAGATATCAGTTGCTTGCTACAAGGTTTTCCTGAGAAAATAGTTGCAAAAAGAAATGCCACACCAACTCATCAAACGAGCTAGCTTCATTTTTCCATTCAGAAATTAGTAAAGGCATGGAGGAAAACATGCTTCTTGAAATTCCTTGGGAATACAGACTGACATCATCCGTCAACACCTCACCCTGGATGAAACTGCTTGTAAAACCAGACACTGTTGATACTTGCTGATTACACAAAAGCACAGCTTCAATACATAATGAAAACCATGGATTCAAACCAGCAACAAGCTTGAGTCTCACAAAGCCCTCACCAAAGTAACATCCTGGAGAATATTACATCGTGCAGAAAGAGCACAGCAAACAAAAGCTACCAAATCTTCAACAGCAGCAGCAGCTCCAACATTTCTTGATGAACACAAAGTAAACGAAGCTTCACATCAACTAGAAAGAGCATCTAAGTCAAGTGCAGCACCAAAAATTCCTTTAGCCAGCACCAATGCGCCTCCAGCTTATTAAAAGGCACAGCCGCCCGTCATCATTTGATACACATCAAATCTAACCGAAACACACTGAATTGTTTTTAAGGTCAAAACTCCAAACCTGCCCACACAAGGTACCCCTCCCAAAAGACTACAATAGGGGTACCATAACAAAAGGACTTCCATTGGAATTAAACTATTACATCATAAATCAGGAGAACACAGCTAAGCTACGACTAGACTCTTATCAAAGAGAGAACGACTTACTGAAAAACAATAAACTCATAAACACTAAATAACTCAATAATATTTATTCAGTAAACAAAGAGTGCGTATATATAAAAAGAGAATCACGAATTAAGCTGAATGAGCAGAATTAATGAAAATGGAAGATTCAAGTTTCGTGAGCTTTTGTACAGCCAACACAATGATTTTCCGCAACTTTTTCGTAAGAAGACAGGTTGTTAAATTATGCTATTTTTATCCACAATATAGTTAAATAAACCAATTACTACTCCAATATCACTACCAATGATAGTCTTGCAAATATCTGGGTAACTTTAAGTTTAAGCTATGAAACCGAACCTTGTTAGAGAAGGTTACAGTTTAGATACAACTCTGCAATACCAATTCTAATTTTATGCCCCATGCCCAATCGCGACTAATAGTTGGTCACATCTGCAGATTTTATTAGAAGATAAGCTCACCATAACAAATAAAGGTCTAATTACCAATTTTATGGAATATCAGCAATTGGGGTCCTATTTTGCAGCATTTTTTTTAAAACCACTTCATGGGATCATTATGAGTTACCCGGAAAAACAAAATGTGCAAGTTTGCAAGCCAATTAACAGTGCCCAAAATACATTCTAAAGTAACTTCCATAGAGGTATAGTTGCTCTACATAAAAGTCCAACTTGTGAGCATTTCAGATTTTTAAAAATATTTCCAGAATTGCTGTTTAGAAGCTATTAAATAAGTTAATGTACTTAGTTTAGAATTGATGAATGTTATGAAGAATGTGAAACTTTAACTAAGAGAATTGATATTGTACCTCTAGTGGTGTGCTGCAGTAGAAACGTTGCTTGTATCCATCGCCGTGTTGAGCATATCGCAAATCAACATGAGTTGTCATTGAATAGGCCTCGCCTCAAGATACACAACAGTAGTCACAAGGCCTATTCAATGACAAGTAACCACTGATCGACGCAAAGTTGTTGGACGCAGGAGAGAGAAGAGCAGGGAAAAAAGACACAAGACACGCAAAGAGATGAGAGCCGGGCAAACCCCCGTGCCTTCTCATCTCCCAACACCCAAAATAAATACTTTTATTTCGTACTTTTGACCTGCCATGCGAGCGCACCCAACATGGCAAAGGCCTGGTAACATGAACAATAAATATCTCACTTTTCCCTCTCACATCTCACACAAACGTCACTCAATCTTTCATCCTCTCGTACATATGCATGCATAAAATAAAAAACTAATGCACATAGCCATTCAAATAATTATAGACATTAAATTAAACTATTATACCCTTAGATACACCAACACGCTAGCTGATTTCAGTCCTCGATCGATGATTACCGGTCCAAACCGTTTGATTCAAAATAACGACAGCAGCGATTCAATAGTCCTTGCATCTCTATTCAGATCTGCAACATGTAAAAGGATTAGCCTGTTTTCAACAAACATAACTTGCTTAAACACATCTTCTCCAAATAAACAAAGCTCAATAAGCATATTTAGCTCACCGATAAAGCTCTAGCAACCAACGGTTGAATCCTCGGTAAAATAACACCTCGGTTGCTCAAATCTACTGCTCCAACCTCCACAAATCTCTGAAAATCAAACAGACCTGATGCTCATCTCCCTCGAACCACTGCGAAAAGCATCAGTCTACCAGCTCCTCGTCAACCGACGGCCACAGTCGACGGAAATCGACAGTTACACTGCTCCGTTGGTCAATCGCCAAGCTGTTATGGAAATACAGCAAATCCATATTCAAAAGGTAGATCGAAGAACGATCTACACAGATCTTAACATGGAATTTGAAGAAGATAAACTACGCAGAAGAGATCCGGAGAACACAGAGATTGGCATAGAAGGAAAAGGTATGTCTGAACGATAGGAGGAGGTTGTAATTTATTGAGAATTTAGAAGGATCGGACGGCTAAGATTAATTTACGATAAGATATTTAACGGTAGATGCGTTATAACCTTAAGAGGCGGCAAAGAGGTTGACAAGGAATTAGGTACGCAAATACACGGACAGCTATTATTGGAATTATTTTACTATTATTATTAGGTGGAAGGTTCTGGATGTAGTATTTGACTAGGACATCTTAACTTTTGTAACGTGTTATAACATGCTTCTCACGTCTAACAGATAATATCATAATTTTCATATTTTTCAAAAACATTACTCCCTGCCTTTCATAGCAATATTTTCTAAATAGGTTTATTTTAAATTCGGAAAATAGCCAAAAATGCACGAAAATGGCTCAATTTTGCTATCCTTCCACCTATTGGGTTATAAATGTCCTTAATGTTAGTTTTTGGGCTCAAACTTACCCTTATATCTAACAGAATGATCAACAATATCTCTAACGTATTGAAAATGGCTCAGAAATACCCTCCGTTAACATTTTGGTCCGTAAATACCCCTAACGTTTGGTTTTGGGCTCAAACTTACCCATATATATAACAGAACTAACCTGGTCAATTTTTTGACTTTAACTTCGTCATGTGTCATTTTCTTAATCCGCCACGTGTATTATTTGTATTAAATAAACTCACATGTATCTTTTAAAATACCCAACGACCTTGACTCGCTCATATATATTTGAACGGTCAGCTAAAAATAATTACATTCGCTAGTTAAGTATATAAAAAATATAAATTGATTATATATAAAAATATGTATATTATACATTAATATTTTAATATATATATTTTACATGATATTATTTTTAGGAGAAATTATACAGTGTAGTTTTTCCTTCAAATTTTGCAAATCTTAACAAGTTTAACAAATATAAATTTTAATTTGCAAACACAAAAATGATAATGTTCTAATTTATATGATTCTAAAGGAGAAGCAAAGAAACAGATGGAAAGGAAATTATTTAAAACCTTTAATTATATACATATCTAACTGCTTAGCACATTAAGGGACTTCACATGATCTTTTCAATGGGAACTAATAGTGTTTTAATATATAATGACAGAGCTAAAATATTAGCAAAAACTGTTGTTCCATTGTCATAATTGCTTAATAAATTCGAGTTATAAATCATAATTAATAGGAAAAACTACACCGTATAATTTCTCCTAAAAATAATATCATGTAAAATATATATTAAAATATTAATGTATAATATACATATTTTTATATATAATCAATGTATTTTTTTTTATATATATATAACTAGTGAATGTAATTATTTTTAACCGACCGTCCAAATATATAGGAGCGGGTGAGGGTCGTTGGATATTTTAAAAGATACAGGTGGATTTATTTAATACAAATAATATACGTGACGGATTAAAAAAAAATATCACATGGCGAAGTTAAAGTCAAAAAATTGACTAGGTTAGTTATGTTAGATATATTGGTAAGTTTAAGAACGTTAGGGGCATTTGCGGACCAAAAGTTTTTCGGATGGTATTTCTGAGCCATTTTCAATACGTTAAGGGCATTGCTGGCCCTTCTGTTAGATATATGGGTAAGTTTGAGCCCAAAAACTAACGTTAAGGGCATTTATGGCCCAATAGGTGAAAGGATGGCAAAATTGAGCCATTTTCAATACGGTAGGAGTATTTTTGGCCCCTTTTCGTTTTAAATTTGATAAACTTTAATTTTAATTCTTTATTTTATTCACATTGGCATGTACTAATAGTTTAATACTCATAAAATATTATAATATATATTTTCAAAAATAAATTAAACTTATATCGAATTAAATAATATCATACTCCCTCCGTTTCAATTTATGTGAACTCATTTGACTAGACACGGAGTTTAAAAAAAGAGAGAAACTTTTGAATTTATGATGTAAAATAAGGCACATATATTTTGTGTAGTTATAAATCATTATATAAAAATAAATTATTTTTAAATAAAAAAATAGGTCATTCTTTTTTACACGAACTAAAAATAAAATAGATTCATATAAATTGAAATGATAATGATAATAATAATAATAATAATAATAATAATAATAATAATAATAATAATAATTAATAATTAATAATTATAATTATAATTATAAATTAAAGCGAAAAAATGGCGGAGCGGAGATGGGTAGCGTTTTCGACGCGTGGCTCATTCTTTTTAACGAGACACACGCAATGCATGTGGTCATCTATTTGGTGCGAAATTTTTTGCCTTAATACTCAAGGCTAGTGTTCACGTGATCCGCGCCACTTCATTGTGGCTTAACAAGTGTAGGTTCAAATTAATCAAAGCCAATTTAGACGACGACATTTTTTCCTTTAGAAGAGAAAGAGTTTCGACATGTGTGTTTCATGCCATTTATAAAAAGATTGAGGGTATATTAGTCCTTTCGCGTCAATTCTTACAATATCTGTCTATACAAACTCTACGCGTAAGTTATAAATTGCTCCACGTGTATTTTTAGCAGACAACTTAATTAAGTTTTCCTTTAATTCAGATTCTGAGATTGATTCTCACGTCTTCTTCCTGATTCTCTTCGCGCACAAATCTAGTTGCAGAGTGAATAAATGACTAGCAGTGAATGATATATAAAAATGATGTTAAATGAGAATTGATTTGGTCTTTTAGACATATTGCCTCAACAGTGTGGAAAATGGATAAATTAACATGAATGCACTTATAAGAATTTGGAAGCTCAAATAAATCAGAATGAACTTAGGAGCTCATAAAACATTAGCACAAAAGGAAGGGTGTGTGCTGAATATCTCCTTCAAATACAGATTGTAACAATTTAAATATGTTCTCCTTGTAGCATGTTTGTGGTTCTTCTTTACTTCACACTGCTGGTTTGTTTTTGGAGAGAAGCAGAAAATGCTTTGAAGGTATTAGAACATCGGTTTGATCTTTCCTTGATCTTTTCCCAGTACTTTGGTGCAAAAAAGGCAAACAAAATGTAAATAATATGGATCAGATGCTACATTCCATTAGCTTTATCAATAGCTATAACCAAAGTGTGGTTTTGTTTATTTGCACCACATTGGTTGAAGGATAGCATTGTGTAAATTTAAGTTCTAACCATAATATTTATGGTAAGGACAATAAAGATAAAGTTGTTTAAGAGGAAATGTAGTGATCCGTGCATGTTGAAAAATTATGGTGAAGTTCTGAAATTACTGAGCTCTTTAAATGTTGATACTACTATATGAATGCTAGGTAAGTTTGCGCCATCGGGTTTGAACTTGAATGTTCCTTTGTTTTTTTCTGTTATTGTTGTTGTTATATGCAAGACTGCTAGGAAGTGACTGTATGAAGAAAATTTGATGAGTGTTCTTTTGTTTTCTGTTGTGTTGTTTGGATGCTTGAAAATGAGGTCTTTATCAAATATTCAACCACCGTACATAATTTTCCTTTCAAATTGTAAAACTCTCTATTTCCGCCACATAGTGAAAAAAAGTATCAAAATGATCCATAGTGTTGGTATTTTTCTGAGAAATATTCTAAATGTCGACTGAGATGCATCAGTCTTTGTGGTTTAATGATAATATTACATGAAAGCTAAATGTGTTTCTCCTATTGCTTTAATCAAGCTATTTACAAGTAGAGAGGTTAGTAGTTTCAGCCTTTCGCCTTAGTTTGTTTGTCTCTTTGACCATTTGTTTTTATTTGATTTCTAGGTCTCTTTATTTGCTCTTTGGTTTTGGCATTTGTTGTACCTGTGAGTTGTGCTATGTTTTTCTCTCCTTCTTTTCTTACTTTGTTTTACACATTTCTTGGTTTTTGCAGTTTTCCTCTTTGTGTTTTTGGCCTCTGTTGTACCTGTGTTTTGTGATTTTTTTTTTTTTTTTTTTTCTTTCTTTATTTGTTTTACCCATTTATAGGTGATGGAATTTTGATAGATATCTCTTGAGTTTGTTCTTATTTAGGATATTTTGGTGGTTCATTGACATGCATTGTCATTAGTTTTTCCTGTTTTCTACATTTTTCTGATATGTTTCTTTGAAGATATCCCTAATCTTTTCATATAATCTATATTGGCACATATTGTCACGACCCAATTTCACCTAAAGATCGTGATAGCGTCCAACACTACAGCTAGGAAGCCAACTAATAAGTTAAATATATATCAATTATTTTCAGAATAATTTTCTAAGAAATTTTATTATTTTACTAGCAATATTAAAGAAAATAGAAAAGATACTGATTAACGTAAATCCAAGAAAATAATAGCATTTCAAATTCTACCAATGTGTATGCCAAGACCTGATGTCACAAGTGTATGAGCATCTAGTAGATTATACAAACACTCCAAATATTGTCTGAAATAAAAATAGACAGAATGAAAATACAAAGAGAGGCACTGGTAGCTGCAGAACGACTCAGAAAGGAAGCTCTTCACTACGCCTCTGGATAACGTGGATGTGCGATGATAGGTCCCCACTAGTGTCTGTCTTAGATCCTGCACAAAAAGTGCAGCAAATGTAGTATGAGTACGTAAACAACGTGTACCCAGTAAGTATCAAGCCTAATCTCGAAGGGGTAGAGACGAAATAGTCAGCTTTAAAACTCACTAAGGGCCAACAATAATAGATAGAATAAAATGAAATTATTTAAATCGGCATGATTTACAGAGTTAACAATAATTTTATTTAATTAGCAGAAATAATAAAAATTTTTCAAATGCAATAATTTCCAATCTGTTAATTAAATCCACAAGCCGCAATTAAAATAACAAAGTATCATATAATAATAATAATTATTAGGCACGATTTCTGCCGAGGTCGTACGACCCGTTCCAGAGTGTCGTGTACACTGCCGAGGGACGTGCAACGCGATCCATAGATGCATCTATACTGCCGAGGCGTTCGGTCCGCTCCACAAGAAATGAGGACATTTTTTTATATACCTCCGGAATGAGAGTATGTTTATTACAAGATTAATTCGAGAGGATGAACA